AACCATTTTAAACCAATTTTCTAAACAAATAAAGCAGAAGATATAACTGTTTCCACATTAGTGAGAATTTTAGACTTCCTACACTAAAAAATTTATTTTTATAAAATAAAGAAATAAAGATTTTATTTTGTGGAATGTATACCGTATGTATGGAATGTTCTAAGACCACAGAAATTATTGTTGTTCAGACGAAGTACTTTATTTAGAAGATATTTCTGATTGAAAACATCTGAACTGTAGGCATAATTCCAAATACCAAAGAAATAAAGATAAAACAAATGGTTATTCTCCTTCTGAGACCATGTTTTTTATTGGGAACTCGCTGCGCTGTTTCTATTCAATCTTTTCGTTTCGAGCTAGGTTCGTTTTAGTCGATCTGAGTAATTCATCATGACTTAAAATCACTTAATCGGACAATTAAAGAGGAATAATCAGCTAATGATTTGTGATGAGGGCAACAACGATGACATACCAAGATTCCCTGCTTGTTAATTCACTTGAAAACAGCGTAAATAAAATCGTTATGTTTCTGTTTTACCTATAGTTCTAAACATCAAGATAACACTCACTTATGTTCAATCTATAAAAATAATTATTTTTTTCATTTATTTATGTTTATTTTTTAAATATAAATCACGAATCTCTATTTACTTTCTAAAAATAGATTAAATTAACACCTCTAGCCGGTCCGTCTATCTAAATATGGTTTAGTACGAGTTACGAGGGGAAGCTCACCAAGTGTCACTCAGACTTTTCGCTGAAATATACCTGAGTATAGGTATTTTTTTATGATGATCCCAAGTCTGGTATCCGTTCATCCGCTTACTCCTTTCAGAAACACTGTTCAAATTCGGAGTCTGCAGAAACCGATGACGAACTCTGATAGAGGCACATTGTAGAGCGAATCGAGCAAGGGGAAAACAGCTGATTTTGGGATTTTTTAGATTTTCGTCAATTTTGCTGATTTTCATCGATTTTCACCAAACTGAAAGTCACCGGAAATGACTGGAAGTCATTGAAAATCACGGAGAATTACAGAGGATCACTGAGAATCACTGAAAATCAGTAAAAATCAATTGATTTTGGGTGATTTTTGACTTATTTTGGGCTGATTTCAGTCTGCTGTTTCCTCGTTGGAATCGAGTCACCTATGTGGAAAAGTCTTGAGAACTTTAACACACTTGGGATACTTTACCTTAGCTATAACATTAGATAAATGTGGATTAATTTTCAATAGCCAACGATAGTGTGAAATACCAATATGAAATAATTGTTGTTTCAATGGTAAAATATTTTTTTCCCAATAATATGAAACATCAATTTCATTCATAATTTCAATATTTCTTGGTAAAACTAATGTCAATAACTTTATATAAGACGATGGCATTGTAAATTTAGTATTATATTGTTCTATATTTACAACTTTTGTTGTTATTGACCATGCATCATTCCAACTTAAATGTTCTTGATCAATTAATAAGCGCATAAGTTCAAGAGTTGTTAATAAAAACATAAAATCACTTTTATCATCATGTAGATGAATAATGGCCTATAACAAAGACCTACTGTCAAACCTCAATATGATCTGACAGTTTTTCCACGCTATTATGTTTCCTTATTAACATCGAGATAGTCATTCGACAGCTCTACCCTCCTCTCTCTCTGACAAAAAGTAATTTTCCGTATGTCGATACGAATGAGAAGAATTAGGGTTTCCAGCGTGTTGAGGCCAAGACTTTCACTCTTCCTTCTATATAAAATAAGCTCGAAAATATTTTTTTGATGAAGACTTCCGAAAGGAACATCGAAAACCCTGCTAATGATTCAAAAATCTCTAATAAAAAAAAGGAACAGTGAATATAAAATAGTGTATCTTCTCAAGTTCTCAGGCCGTTATGATTCCTTTTGACAGATGTATGAGGTTTTCAATACTAACTGAAAATAGTCCGAAATGGATCAATTTCCATAAAATCACCTTTCATTACGCTTACAAGAGACAAATATCGCCAAGAGATTGAGCGTGTTCGATTGCCATGTATTTCTGAAGCTATTTCACCTGATGGGCAAAGTTAGGTAGGTTCCAATCAAATGTTATACATATATGATGAAGGACACTATTAGCCATATGAAGAATGGTTTAAACAAAGAGATCGCTTTTCTAGTTTTTCCTCCGAAATGTTGAACTCTCTAGCTCTTTCGTTCTTGTGATTTTCGAAAAACAACCGAGAGGCTGTATTTGGTTCCAGTAAGAAGACATTTGTTTTTTCGCATGGATTAAAAAAGGCTATTTTCTCTCATAAATTTTGCAAAATTTCTTCTACGTTCGGATTTAGTCTGGATATCTATCTGATCATGTTGTTGTACACATATATACTTTATTTGGCAACAGATTAAAATCTTTTGTTGTTGTTTCTGCTTTGAATTGTGCCAAAATATCTTGAATTGTCGCTGATATAAAAAAATAATTTTGTTTGAGTTGAAGTAAATCTTTATTTTTATCGTCAAAACAACACTACAAGGATAAATAATAGAGAAATAGACAATTAACAAATGAGAAAAGTAAATCGTAGCATACCATAATAATTTGTGGATGTAAAGTGAGGTGACGAGATTGAATAATTAACTTTTCTATTTCTCTCATATAATCATCATCACTGACTAAACAAAATAAACTAACTCTTCATTGGTTGCGTTGTAGTGTCCATATATAATAATACTTAAAAGCTCTTGATCAGGTACGCGCTTTTTCCAGCTTATTTTCGTGACATAAAGCAAATCCCGGAGGAAACTCAAAGAAAATTTCAAGTCGTTTTACCTAGTGTATATTCAAATTTTCGCCCAATTTTCGATGTCCATAAGCGCAACGTATTCACCCTCTGATTGTAATAACCAGGTATTAGTGAATCAAACGCCACGGCGAGAATAATCTTAAAATTGCATAAAAAATATATATTAATTTAAAAATATATTACACAAATAAAAGTAGTGTAAAAATCCGATCCATTCTTCCTGTCTACTTACCTCGGTATCAATCCACTGTTTTTCAACAGTTTTTCCATAAAAATGTACAGGGTAAATTATTTCTGATCGAATAATTTCCCATGGATTCTTTTGATCAGTTAACCAATCATTTAATGCTTCTTTCTATGAATTGAAAAGACATTTTTCTTTTTCTTAATATTATGACAAAAGTTTTTTAATGTTTATCCAAAGCGTGCAAACATGACTATGAAATCCCAATTGCAGAAAGTTCTGAATCTTCAAGCTCCTCTCTTTTGTATTTTACAATAGCGTCTATGTATTCTCAATGGGTTTATAGAACGATAAAATTTGGATCGACAGATAAGTATTTGGTGAAATGTTTTGAGTCAGAAAATGCAGTAATTATTAATGGTCAACATCTTAATTCATTAATCAGCTATCATGGCTACTGAGATCTAGAGGATCTAACAAAACTTTCTCTTTCATCTAAAAGCGTTTCACACACTAAACACCGGACGGGTAAATAAAGGCATTTTAGCCAAAGAAAATTTTTGCGTATGGAAACGTTTTGCTAAACTTTAAGTGACACCTCACTAAACGCAGTTTTGGACGCTGAGCATGAATATAACCTTAGTTTTGTGATGGGAAATGTTTTTCATGAATGGAAAGTCGCTTTTAATGTTCAGAATTTTTTCCTCTGAACTTAAAAATATGAAATTTTTCTTTTGATAGCCCTGTACAGTAGCTACTGGACTACATGATGACGCAGAGATATCCATAAACTGTTTAACCCGCCCACCCCCTTCCCCGTGGAGAAAAGATATTTCAAAAATAGCGCTAACATTAAATGATGGGTCAGATTAGTAGAATAAAGTCAACGAAACATAATCCAAATTTTATATATGGATTTTATAGAACCAAATTTTTCATATGGTTTTACTTTGTACCGTGGCTTTCCAGCCTTGATGATCTTACCAAAAAAAAAGAAAAAGATCCATCAATAAGTTTATTTTTTTTTTGATCTTTTTTATTTTAATATTTTTAAATAAGGTTTTTTAATTTTATTAAATTTTTATTATATATATCACATATGTTAAAAAGATTCTCAGGTATCTACCATTATTCGATACAGGATTATACATCTGGACTACAGATGTTAAAAATTATAGAAGGTAAATAATTAAGAGCGATATAAGTTTATGGAGTACTACTTTAAAATTATTTATTGCTTTTGCGTTATACATATGGTTTCCATATGTTAAAAAGATTCTCAGGTATCTACCATTACTCGATACAGGATTATACATAGGGTTCCCCGTATGTTAAAAATTATAGAAGGTAAATAATTAAGAGCGGTATAAGTTTATAGAATTATTTTATCCTTGTTTTGATCTATTATTTTTCTTAGTGCTTTTTATTTTTATATTTAGGGTTCCCATTAATATGTATAGAATATTTTACGGAAAATGACGATCTAAAATGTTTTTTTATTATTTTAATATAAATATATATATATAGTTTATAAGGTTAATAGAATTATATTATAAGTATGCGGCAAGAATTATTATAAAATGTAAAATTACAATAGGTGGGTTTTAGGTCAAAAAATTTGGAATGAAACTCTGATTTTAAAAATAAGTTTTTTTTACAAAATTAATTATTTTGTTCTTGTGTTTTATTTAAAACTTTCAGTTTTTTTATGAGTTTTAGTTAATTTTTGAAGTGTAGTTTATATCTAAAATTTTTGTTTTTCTTTTTTTAAGGATTATTTGTTTTTTTTTAGTGGAAGATATAATGAAGAAAATAAAATTTGATTTTTAATCAATAAATTAAATTTTCTTTAAAATTAAGTTATTATAATTATTAATTGTTACTTAATAGAATTAATTTTAAGTGACTAATGTTTATATGATTTTGCTATTTTTGAGTTTAATAAGTTCTAATGTTTTTTATGTTTGGTTAATTAATGAATTTATGTTATTTTTGATGTTGTTATTTTTGGTCTTGAATGATAGTAAGTATTATAGTTTAATTATATATTTTTTTATTCAAAGGGTATTTTCTTTTCTTCTTTTTTTAACTGTTTATTGAAATTATTTTTCTTTTTCTTTTATTCTTATAATGGTTAAATTGGGATTGGCTCCTTTTCATTATTGAGTTGTTGTTATTACTGTTGAAATAACGTTTTTTATAAATTTTTATGTATTAATTTTTGACTTTTATGATTGTTATTTTTATTTAATTCTTTTTATGTGTTTTTGTTTGCAGTTTTTAGGATCTTGGTTTCTTTTGTTGGCTTACTTTTGGTATATGATTTATGGCTATTAATGGTTTATTCTTCGATTAGTAATACTGGTTTGATTTTGGTTAGAATGTTTACTGTTAATTATTGGTTTTTGTTGTTTTTGTATATGGTTATTACTTTTGTTCTAATTGGATGTTTTTTTTTTACTAAGAGTGACGATTATTTTTATTTAGTGATAGTTTTATTTTTGGTTGTTCCACCTTTTTTTTTGTTTGTTTATAAGTATTTAGTGGTGGTTGGTTTGTTTAGCGTAAAGATAGTTTTTTTTGTTAATTTATTATTTTAGGTTTATTTTTATTTATGGTCTTAGTTATTTCAGTAAATCTTTGTTTTTGATTTTATTGCTTTTTATGTTTTTGTCTTTGATTTTAAATAATATTTATGTTTCGTTGACTTTATTCTACTAATCATAACCACTTTCACTTAACTTCCACACTATATGTCTCTTACTCAGTTTTGGACGCTCTGTCGAATGGCTCAATCAGAATTTTCTTTTCACACACTCGCCAGATTCAGCAGTCACACTGAAGAATATGGCACTTTTGGCTTAAAGTCGCGTTTTCACCGTAAGGAAAAAGCTTTTTAAAATTAGTTTTTAAGCCAAAATACAACTTGCACTCTGTACTATCAACCAGAGATGCGCGGGACAAGGTTGTTCGACGTCCCGTCCCGTCTTATCTCGTCAGAAATTTTCTGAAACTTATCCCGTCCCATACTATTTTTTCGCTGTTATTTTTGTTACCGTACTGTATGAAATAAATAAAGTTTATATCTGACAAGATGAAAAACTAGATGCCAGCTGCGCTCCGCGAAGATTGGAAGCCAATTGAGGGAAACGCGAATGCAACCAGCTGGCTTCTACCTATGGCAGTACAGTGGATATAACCCTTAGTAAACTGCTATATATGTTTTCTCCTTTAGCAACAAAATATGTTTCGAATTTTATTCAGCTACATTTATCTTCTACAGCATATTATTCACATTATCGTATCAGCTGATCATTATCTTATAATACATTCTGCTATAGCTTTCATCATATAAAGTGTAGATTTACTACTCAGGATATCACTTGACAATTAATTATCTGATAGGAGAAACGATAGAGTTTTCTGAAAAATATATTCATTGTGTGGTACTAATTATAGGATAGCTAAAGCAAATATTCGAAAAGTAACTTCAGTTCTGTCATGTACGATGCTTCTACTTCGAATCATCTTTTTCTCAAATCTATACGACCAGAGATAACCGAGAACGTTGGACGGAAAAGTCGACCAGAACTGTAGAGAAAGAAAGAAAGAACACATGGCTGGAAGTGAAAAGCAATAAGCCCACTCAGTTGGCTTAAGAAATAACACTCTATTTATTGCTGCTGAACTATAATTAATGAAGTGATGACGTCATTGCTTAGAATATTGTTTTGGCGCGCAAAGTTGTATTTCCCAGAGATGCGCGGGACAAGGGTTTTTGACGTCCCGTCTCGTCCCGTAAGGACTTGGTCCCGTCCCGTCTCGTCAAAAAAACTTTCGAACATGTCCCATCTCGTACCGTACCGCCGAGACGAGACTGTACCGCGCATCTCTGCTAGCGACTGATGTACTTTTCATATTTAATCCGTACCTATACAACGTAAAAAAAGATCTTTATCAGCTGTACGGAAACGTTTTGTCGACCTGAAAAAGTTCACTTTTCAGTCTCATGGGCCTACAAAGAGCAATAATGAATATTTCCAACCTTTTCTGGAACATATACTACAGAGAGCGGACAATGTTTTGGTGCAAACCGTTTGACAAAAGTTTTTTTCCTTACCGCTTGTTCTATTCACTCTTGTCTTTTCGAGCTAGGTTAGTTCGAGAAAAGCGCCACAAGAAAAAGTACCTGGCCAAAGTCAATACCTTGCACATTTTGTTGCACTAGTCGAGTAGTGTGTGACCTAATCTCGAAGAACTGATGTATAGTTTTCGAGGGAGGAAGCCAGGACGGGCCAAAGTAGGTCTCGGGGCTATACTTACCATGGAGAAGTAAAAAGTGCTAGAGACTTCATTGTTGCGTCATTCGAACAAACTTGGAAGCCGCTTTCATTTGAATATAAATAAAGTTAAGTTTTGTTAGATTTTGAGCTCGTCCAACACGCTATAAAACGAGTGATATGCGCTAATGGAGATAAGGTCCTCCAGTCAAAAATTCTTTCCCAATGTCAGAGGAGAAAATCTCATTTGCGGATCGAAATATACAAACTTTGTATGCTCTTTCCAGCTAGCAGTATGAAAACGCTTGTTAGTATTAGGTAAGGTCGGATTTCGCTGTTCTGGCACCCCTAAAAACGCTTCAATTCAGAACTTATGGCCAAGGAAAAACTGTGTTCGGAATAATTTTTCCGTTGGGCGACAGGGGTCTTTACATACCTTTAGTAGGACTATCGACAGCATATAGTCAAACCTTCCCGGCCTTTAGTCGTGTATAAAGCGGGCGGACCTGTATGGAAGTACCCGAAAATAAAATCGTTATGTTTTTGTTTTACCTTTAGTGTCTAAACATAAAGATAACACTCACTTATCTTAAATTTATAAAAATAATGTTTTTTTTTCGTTTATTTATATTTATTTTTAAATATAACTGACGAATCTATGTTTACTTTCTAAAATTACATTAAATTAACACCTGTAGCCGGTCTGTCTATCTAAACATGGTTTGGTACGACTTACTAGGGCAAGCTCACCAAGTGTCACTCTGATTTTTCGCTGAAATATGCTTGAGTATAGGTATTTTTTTTTATGATGATCCCAAGTCTGATATCCGTTCGTCCGCTTACTCCTTTCAAAAACACTGTTCAAATTCAGAGTCTGTAGAAACTGATGGCAAACTTTCGTCTGAATATACTCTGATAGTGACATTACCTATCTGGAAAAGTCTTGAGAACTAACGAACAAGGTTTCACGGAGTTATAAAGGTTTTGGTTTTCCTCAAAACTTTTCCACGTAGGTAACTCAATATGCTCTATAATATGGCACTATCAGAGTATATTCAGACGAAAGTTTGCCACCAGTTTCTAGAGACTCCGAATTCGAACAGTGCCTATGAAAGGAGTAAGAGGACGAACGGACACCAGACTCATGATCATCATAAAAGATCACTTATACTTTTGCCGCCACTGTATATTTATAGACAATTGTTAACAAAATACTTATGGTTATTCATGTAAATTTATAATACAGTACTACAGTAATTGTATACCTGACATCCATCTTTGATCTTTTGTTCAAAGAAACCTAATATGAAAAGAGAAAGAGAATCATGCAGATGAGGTTACATTATCGACTTTATGGTTTCCTGTACCGTGATCGAATCGTAATCCATAACTCATTGTCGATATATTCATATTTGCTAAGGACTGAATTATATAACCGGCTGTATATCCAGTTTCATCAAATCCATATGCATATTTTTCAATATCAAATAATTTGTCATAAAAATGCCAGGACATCTAAAATAAAAATAAAGCTTGACAAAATTATTTTAGCACATTCAAAAATTTACAGCTATGTAGGATATCCCATGACGATTAATTACGTTTCTCCTACCAGATGATTAATCGTCACATGATATCCTTCGTAGTGAATATATACTATAGTGTTTGACAGGATTCCCGATTGGAGGGTGGGAGCTGGCAGGAAGATACTGACCCCTCTCTAAAAAACGTTTGGCAAAAACGGATTTTCTGGCAAAATCTTTAACGTTTTTCCACCAGCAACTTTCTGCGTCATCGTAACGTGATATCCTACGTAATGAATATATAGTACAGTACTTGATATGATGAAAGCTATGGCAGAATGTATGATAAGATAATGAATCAGCTGATACGATAATGTGAATAATATGCTGTAGAAGATAAATGTAGCTGAATAAAATTCGAAACATATTTTGTTGCTAAAGGAGAAAACACTAGATTCTTCCACTGAGATATTTCTGGTTTAAATTAATTATCTACGTAGTTTATGTCACAGCTAGAAGCTAATCGGTTCTAGAAATGTTTCACTAAATCGGCTTCCCATCTTCGCAGTGCGTAGTTGTCAGCTAGTTCTATTTTTCTCCATGAGTGAACATTATTTCACTCTTTTTAATACGGCGTAGGCTAAATTACGTTTTTAGTGAACTCAGAAACTTTTTTTGTTTTTTCTGAAGTACCAACTTCTCACAAAAACTTTATAAAAGAATTAACCAACGTACTTTCAGTAAAAACGTAATTTAGCCTAAACCATTATTGAAAAGACTGAAATAATATTCCCTCATGGAGAACGATAGAATAAGTCGTGCGCTCAACAGCACAAGTTCTGCTAGTTAACTGGAATGGAAGAATAGCTAAAAGCAGAGATGGGCGAGTCACCACTTTTTCGAGTCTGAGTCCGAGTCACACACAAAAAAAAAAATCAGTCACTTCGAGTCATTTTCTAGAGGAAAACTTCCCCCTCATGCATTTTTCCAAGAACAGTTCTTCAGTCCTCGCATGTGACGCGATGTTCTGCTTAGAATATTCTCAAATCTCCCTCTCTTCTGGTACATAACAAATATAATAAATATAATAAACACCGTCATAACAATCCCAAGTTGCACATGGCTGACTCGTAAGTCAGTTTATCACGTTTATCGAGTCTCTCACCTCGAGTCTGAGTTCGAGTCACAGAAAAATGCGACTCGAGTCCGAATCGTGACTCGGACTCGTCCATCTCTGGCTAAAAGCATTTAAATCTAGACCTTATGCAACCTGCTTTACTCGGTTTTCTTCGAGAAAATCGTGCATTTAATTCGATACACAGCATTTTTCAGACATTATGTCGATTTCTGATACGGGATATGAAACTTAAGAAAGGAGCAGATACATTAGATACGAAAATGCATTTCTCATTCCTATATAACAATGTTTTTCAAAAAAGAAAGAATGACTTCTATATATAGACTACAGCCTTTCTCATTATAAACACATACAATTTCATCTCTTAACATAGTGCAGAACTGTTTCTCATCATTTTTTTTTTGCAGATTGTGTGTTTTTGTTCTTTTTTCAAAGAAGTTATTCCAAGAAAATGAAGTATTTTTTACAAGGTCAGTGCAAGTTTCCGAAAGAGAGAGAGAAAGAGCGAATGAAGAGAAATAAATCCTGCCAATTTCTCCTTAGTCACAGAGTATGGGACCTCTTTATCTTTCCGGATCATCTTTCTCAAATAATGCGTAAAATCTAAGATGCTTCCTTCTGTATAGATAAAGTTAAACACAGTGGCTGTGCAAGAACTCAAAATAAAAATGTACAGAAGTGAGAAAATGCCTCAAAAATGTGAGTATCCTAGATGTAAGATCACTTTGCCATTAGTGACTTTCAGGATGTAGCAAAGATCAGTTCGGTTTTGTTTGACGCACAGAAGATCGAGGCTCAGCCATTCCATCTTATTCACAGGATACCAGAACGGTTCTAGTAGCGAATCGGTCCTAGCGATAATATCCACGGATATACATTGTCGAAAAGTTCAAGCGTGAATGCTTCACCCCAGGACGATGATTACGACGGTCGTAATACGTCAAATTACGACGTCGTATTTTGACGTTTACGATAGTATTTCATCGTAACCTAGCGCTTTCGTGGAGAAGTATTACAATGATCGTAACACTGTCATCGTATTTTGTCGTATTTCATCGTAAACCACAGTTTACGACAGTCGTAATCCTTCTCCACGGTTCCTTTCGTCGTATTTTGATGTAAACTGTAGTTTACCGCCATGTAGCTTCGACCTGAGACATACGGCAAACGTAACCTCAATGGTAAATCTCACAAGTGAATGAACTAAAAGGCATCAGTCTTTGTCACATTTAACTTAAGATCGTTTTCAATCATACGTCAAATCTGAACTGAGAAATACAGTGAAGTGACCCAGGGGTAAAAAAACTGACAAAAGACACGTTTTGTTTTCGTTTTTAACGACCAAAAAACGCGTTAAAAGGTTTCAAAATTAACGCGTTCTTTTTGTCGTTTAAACGCGAGGTCAGAAACTTTTTCTCCCAAGTCAAGTCATCCGTTGAAATTTTTTCCGTCAGCTCAAGTCTAATTAAAATTAGGCAGAACATAAAATTTGTCAGCACCTTTTGGGTGAGAGAGTTTTTGTAGGCTGAGAAACTCTGTTTCGTGGTAGAAAAAGTCTAATTTAAAGGAAAATCTCTTACTAGAAATTACTTGACTTGAAAAAAATTTCTCAAGTCAAGTCATATCCCCGGAAAATTTTGGATCAAGTCAAGTCAAGTCTGACTCAGACTTGAGGCATTTTGGACTTGACTTGACCAGCTGTACACAAAAATGCGTTCAACAAAAACGCCAGAAAACGGTTAAACGATCGTTAGCAAACGCGTTATTCTAAACTTTTAAACAACAAAAAACGCGTTTAAACGGCCCTTAAGCGACGAACAGGCCAAAAGTACTGTGCACTTTCTCTGACTCTGTGTTAATACTCACCTTTCCTTTTCAGATAGAATTTCTAGCATGATGGAAGCATCGTCAGCTTGACGAAAACAGTAAAATTGATTGTTTTTCTGTTGAAGAAAAAACCACCTGAACCGCGTTTTTCTATGGAAGCTTCGTGCATGGGTAGTTAATTGTCGGATTTTATATTGATACTACGTGGATCTTTTTAGTCTTTTATGCTCTTTTCAACAGACCGGTCAGAAAATCACTTACGATACGGAGAATTCTCACCGCGACTGCATGGCTGTTAAAATGACTTACTAAATGTGACGCTTGATAAATATCATCTTCTATACCTAAATTTATCATCATCATTTTCAATTGTTTTCCCATACAAAATTCTATCGATAAAAAGTATAAAGTCTATAAAATAGAAAAGACACTAAATAGAAGCTTCGTTCTACGTATAACTTTCAACAAAACTCTTCATCGAGATGAAAGTGTGGTAACATACTTTTTTATTCGTATTGAAATTGTCTTGTTTAGTTGTTTGAATCCATTGTTTAACAAGATAATCACGAACAGTATAAGCCAGTCCAAGATAATAATCATTTATTGTTGTATTATTCTGAGTTTTTCTTAATGTAAAATATAAATGATGTCTGATTGCTTGTTTAACTTTTTGTACATTTTTAAATTCTGCTAGACAATATGGAGAATTAGGATCATCTGGAAAATTTTCGAAGAGACCATCTGGTATAGGTCTAACCCATATAGCATCCTATTTACGAAAAAAAATAAAGATACAGTTATTCTATTAAGGGATTCTTCATACTTAAAGAATTCTGCTTAAGGAAGCCCTAAATATGTCAGAGAGTGAAGAAAATCAGATCGCGATCGGATCGACTGGGACTTTCAAAAGTTCGATTCCGAGCTTACTTTCACTTTTAAAAGAACTCAATTTTTATCAACAAACTCCCAAAAACGTGTGCCAAATTCATCTCTGGGGCATTTTCGATATCTTAGTACTAGTTTCAACCAGGGAAAAACATTTTGAAACTATAGAGCTTAATTAGCTATAAAGCTCGGAAAAATCTAGGGTTGAATTTAGCACACTTTATTGGTTGTTTGTTATTGAAAAATTGAGTTGCTTTAAAAATGTTGTCATATGTCATATCTGAAAAAGAGCCATGCAGGTTACAACTTTTCCACAACCTATAACCTGTCCTGTAAAAACTTTAACAACCTATAACCTTTCATAACCTTATACATCATAACCTGTCCTAACCTGCAATATTTTTTGTGTAACCTGTTCTGTTCTGTCCTGCGAAAAAATTACAGCAAAAAACGAGTACCCAAGTTCGAAAATTTTTCCTAATAAAGCAAATTCTTTCCATTTACTTTATTTATGCAACAAAAAGCAACAATAAAAGATCACTTTCTGATGAATAATATATCGTCAACAACATCTGGATTCGACGACTGCCTTCGTGTTTCCAATACTCTTCCTGATGCACTAAATATTTTTTTGACTAATAAAAACTTTTTTTCGAGTACTTATTTCTTCCTATTTACAGATGGCGCTTAATATTCTTTTTACAGGTTGAAAACAGGGTATGGACGATGTAATCTGTTCTGTAAAAATTTTCGTAATCTATAACCTGTTCTGAACTGTGAACCTGTCCTAAACCTGACCAAACCTGTCAGTACAGGTTAGGATAGGTTATGCGTGACCCGCAGGACTCTAATTTGAAAGGATTAATTTTTTCAAAAATCTTTAAAAGTGTTTTTTGCTGGCTGGAAATAGTACTAATAGACCTAAAATACTGTAGAGATGAATTTGGCACACTTTTCTGGGTGTTTTTTGATGTTTATTGAAGATTAATGCTTAGAGACCACACCTATAAAAAAAATTTTCAGTACTCACGAGGGGAACTCGCGAACTGTCACATCGCTTTTTCAGCCAAACCTAGTGGGTTATAGGTTATCAACTATGCTGAATACGAATATCATACAGGTAGCTGCGCAGGAGTCTTCAGAGAGCGGTTTTCTGGAAAACCAGCTTTTCAGAAACTATAAAGAGTAAGTAAACTGTGGCATGATTGTAGCCCGCACATTTCTGACTAAAATAAGACATCTCCCAGCTTTACCCGAAAACGCGTTCAGCAAAAACGCCAGAAAACAGTTAAACGATCGTTAGCAAACGCGTTATTCTAAACTTTTAAATAACAAAAAACGCGTTTAAACGGCTCTTAAACGGCGAACGGGCCGAAATTGCTGTGCACTTTCTCTAGAAAACTGGTTTTCCAGAAAAACGCTCTCTGAAGGCTCCTGCGCAGTTACCTATATGATATTCGTATTCAGTATAGTGATAACCTATAACCCACCAGGTTGGCTCGAAAAGCGATGTGACAGTTCGGGAGGTTCCCTGATCAGTTCGACCAGTTCTACCGACCGGTTAGCTCACGAGGGAACCTCTTGAGGTTTCCAGGTTCTCCCGTCAGATCATAATTTGGTGGCGTTCGTGGATAATTGCGCGTGCTCGCATTTTCAGGAACATTCTCAGTCAAAGATATTCAAAATGGAATAGTTTTCGTTACTCTGTACCTTGCATTCTGAAAATCACCCTTATAATGCATAACGAGGTTCGCCCAGAATAGCATTTACGTATTCAATAGACTACAATCGCTGTTTCATGAGGTTTTTACCGTTTCGAGTTCTTTGAGCGCACATGATCCACACCATTCTCTGTATGGTATTGTTCGCCATCGTTCTTTTAATTCACTGTTTTCGTAATCATCATCATTATTTAAATCCTCATGCATATTTAATTGTTGCTGATAATTATAAATGATGTACACTGTGCTCAATATTAACAAGACGGTTGCTTGAAAAAGTGTGTAACGATTTCTATGACTGCTTCCCCATCGCCAGGCGAGAAAAATCAGTAGACATATACACTGATATAATATCCGACGTTTCTCTTTTCTTCTTCGTCTTCCCTTATCACATTTGGTCTCTCTTTAATAAAATAAATCTTTTTCTGCTTGTCATCAGAAAAGAGAATCGCTTATTTGTTGAGTTCTATTCCATAGAAATGGAAAAAAGAAAAGTAAGAGTTTTGACCTGTTCTTTTATCATTATGCGCATCATCATTGGAAAATGATCATGATAATATATATTTCTTTCGCCCAGAAGGCATTGCCATATGGTCGTTGTCGGAATGGTAAAATGCAGAAAAAGATTTATTGTATTACACTGTATGCCCGACGATCCGACAGTTCACCTTTGACATTACTGACTTATACACTATGATCCCTCAAAAGCAGTCCGTTTCTGCAGTTTGTCGACTTCTTTCAAAAACAAAAAATTACAAAATAGACGGTATTTCGATCGACACCATTGCTAGATTGTTACGTTTCATACTCAACAATGCATTTTTCGCATTAGGCAAAAAATATTACAAATAAATTAAAGCTGGTGCGATGGGGTCAGCAGTGACTCAAGTGCTAGCCGATGTTTATATGATGAAGTGGGAAAGTGACGTTCTAGCACTACACTTAGATGAAAAAGAAATTTCTGTAAAATTTCGAGACGACATTTACCTGACTAGCAAACGACCCCTTTTTGACTTAGTTGAGATACTCAAAAAACTTGACTCTAAAGATCCCGCGCACATAAGACTAACCTACGAGACCGGAGACTCAGTTGACTACTTAGACGTGACAGTTCTCAAAGATCCCCAAATACCCGTTTCCGCACGATCGTTTTCCGAAAACCTACTACTACTACCTATTACTACCGCTGTAATTTCTAGATCGGATGTTGATGTTGATTGGTTCATTCGAGATGGTGTTTCTTCTTGTAACTGCATGTGTAAACAATCAACTGCAGGATGTAAACAATCAAAATAAAAACATTTCTCTCTCTTATTTTTCCGTCTGCATGAACAAATTCCTATATAAACAGTCACTTTTCCGACTATCAACCATCATTCTTTCAAACGAGCATTTACTGAAGAAGAAATCCGAAACGCGTATAACTTCTCGTAACTCCATTTTTTTATATATTCAACATTCGTTGGCAATTTTTTAATGCATATATTTTTATATTAAAACAAAAATAAAATACAACCAAAAATATTTTATTATTTAATCAAGCGTTTATTCAAACAACGTCGGTATCATTTCTACTATTTTTTCATCCTTTGCGCTTTATTTCATCTACCATACTTCTCTCAGTACACAAAAAGATCAATTTTCAAAAAGTTGCGTAAGTCTTTCCTTTTCCTTTTTGTCTATTTTCAACAACAAAAGAATTTTTTATTGCTGAAAAAACAGATGGGGATCGTTGGTGTGCTACATGTACATTGTGTCAATCAGTAGTTTGAGATAAGATCCATGTTACTTCTTCCACCACCGGTTGAGCGTGTTTTCTCACAAAGTGGATTTCTTATGAGACCACATAGAGCAAGGGGGAAAAAGCGCACTCCGTGGAGTGTCGGAGTGGCTTGGAGTGCCGTGAACTTAAGGAAAACTTAAGGAATTTTACTTACCTCAGAGCTAAATCAAAGGCTTCTGGATTAACAAAGTGGTCTTCCTCTATCCTATTATTCAACAGGTGTGTATCATGAGAAAATTTTCAATTTTTACAGTATGCAGAGCCGAACGAATTTTATAAATTCGAATTCTTCTTCAGTAAATGCTCGTGTAGAGAATGATATTTCGTAGTTCAACGTAGTTGTTTATATACGGTTTGGTGCGGGCAGACGAATAATAAGAGTAGAGAAAAAAATGTCTTGTTTTGCTGGAGAGAGTGAAATTTGTAAAATTCTTTGTTGAAATTGGACATCTTTGTTCAATGAGGACATTTTTGTTGAAATTGGACATCTTTTTCTAATACAACTTTCAGATTTGTTTTTATTTCCATTGAATTTATAATCGTGTTTCACTGTCAAAATAATCTATTTGTTTAACGTTCGTCATCTTGTCATTCAACAGAAATTGTATTTTGAAATGTTGATATAAATTAATTTCTATTTGTGTTAAATCATAGCCATAAACTTCAAAGCAAAGAAAAAAAAACACATGTAGCACCTGACACGCTCGCACGTTCATTGTCCGGTCAGCTTTGGTCACACACAAGAGGGGTTTATCGAATTAATTTACGTCCTTGATGAAAGATCCCAAGGGTTGAAAGAAGCGGAGAATGAAGAGAGGAGGACAATTATTTCAAAAAGTTTTAAGAAAAAATTATTCAAATCAACTTTTGAAATCCATTTCTATCTCAAAAATCTAGTTTTTGTAAAGGATTCATTTAAATTTTTTTCTCCAAATAAAAATAAAATGTATTTAAATAGATTTTCCGCGCGAAAAGTTACGCAGAATGAATTTTTAAGCTGACCACGAACACGCTGTTTACTTGTACCGAAAACAGCATCATGATGACGAAAAGTTGCAATCAAGAAAAATGTTTAGTCCTTTCTTTAAAATACTCATAACGTATCAACCAAACCGAGGCCAATGGTAAAAAAAGAATTTTTCTGGCTTTCCTCTTCCTTACAAGAAAATGCGTTTGGAGACTTTTTCTGCACCTGACGAATACTTATGGTAGAAACTGTACATACTTTCCCACCAAATATAAATGTTTTGGGGATACTATTGTGGTCTTGATA